ACTTGATATCTATTAATTTGTACACCTGCTCATGTAAAGAAGAACCATAAGAAGAAACATTCAGAAGTGTTCATGTAGGGACATTTAATGTCTGGTATTGAAATCTCTGAAGGGAAAGATAGATCACAACAGGATTTATGGCACTCCAGGATAATGTTGACCGCATGTGCCAAACTTCTACATATACCTACGTTCGACGAGCAGAAGTGCTCACTTACATAGATTCCTATGTTCGAGTGTAAATGCTCTCTGACCTTCAAGGTTTTTGGACCACAGAGTACTGTTTTATTTTGTAGTACTGTTTTTGACCTCTTCTCCTTCAGGGATTTCAATATGGAATTATCATAGCCTCCCGATCTGTAATGCCTCTCCATGAAAACGTCCAAATGTTTCTATACAATGATTGGCTCCTAAATACAGATGGGAATAAGCTGGTCTGATTCCTAAAATATGGTTGACCAAAATAACCTATTTGGCACAAGGAACATTGGTAGAAAAGGTGTTGTATAGTCGTCTTGCTGATTGTGTGACTAGGACTTACTGTCACTGGATCATCTACAATCCCCTGGTTTAACACATAGACTTTAGATCCTAAGGTCTGTCATTGAGTTAAGTGGTGTGACAGCATGCCGGTGACATGGTGTGGTGTTGTTTGTCCAACATCATGGATATTCTCTTTTCCCACAAGTGTATTATTGAAGTAAAATTGTACCATAAAAAATTTAGTCCCAAAATGACCTAGTTTGTGTTGAGTGGACCTTAAACCCCATTTCCCTCTCTTAAGTCAAAATCATCCTTGCTAACGAATATATTAACTTTGTGATGATGTCCATAGATACAGTATGCATCACCATATTATGCTAGTCCCAAAATGACCTAGTTTGTGTCCAGTGGACTTTAAATCTCATTTTACTTTGTTCCTCTCATGTCTAAATCATCCTTGCTAACGACTAAATGGAATATATTAAATTTGTAAAGATGTCCATACATATACTTCATCTGGGGTATTGATAAATGGGACATTTTATCCTAATTTTTGGTGTTTTTAATATATTTCTCCTGTTTTTATTATCACTGTTCCGGTCATTTTTATTTTTTATTTTGTTAGTAGGAAGGTTGCTAGTTGTGGGTAACATTCAACTTTGGTCCTAGTCCCTGCAAAGAACGAGCTATAGCCTCTTAAACATTGGTTTTCATTAAATTCAATTTTCAGAGAGAGTTGGGTATCCGGCCAGTACCAAGGTATCATTAGCAGTAGAAACTTCAAACTCAGTGTGAAGGAGGAACCTGAGTGGTCCTACTAATGCCCATAATTTTGTCTATCCAAATCAATTATTGTCCAAATAGCAGGTCATTCAAATTTGGATCCAAAATTGCCTATTTTTGGCTTATTTTTCGATTAAAAAATACTTTTCCAATTTTCCAGGTCGGTATCAAATGAATCAATCTAATATTTTGTGGGGATGTATCTGGGTACTAACCCATCTCACAGAAAAAATTTGGTCCAAATCCCTGACCCAAGGGTTATCACCCCCTGCATGGTGCTCTCGCGGACACGCTCTTAACTGTTAATCTCACCAACGTTGTAATATACAAAACAGACTACTAATATATAGATTATTCTTCAGTATAATTAACACTATCATGTGAATATGCCGCATGTGTTATGGATGTTTCGTCATGAAAGGAGTGCATTTACTACGATTTTCGTCATCAGCACCCTTGAAAATCCTAAATAAAAAAAAATATTAAACGACAAAATGGCAAATAAATGGCGGAATTTGTCGGATCAAATTTTTACTACGATTTTCGTCTTCAGCACCCCTGAAAACCTATGGAAAGCTATATTCAATGACAAAACAGCAAATAAATGGCCTGGTTGTTATGGGATTTTGTTTTGGAACATACCACATCTTTGACTTGCTTTTTCTCAAAACTTACTTTTGTGAGTTGGGTAGCTTCGAATGGACAGAGCTCAGTCAATTTTTGCCTGTTTCAAACAAACTATACACCAAATTGAAGGTAATGAGTTGGAGAATGTGAAAATAACAATAACTCAATTTTTAAAATTTCCTCACTCCGACTCAGTATGCCATGGGGGGTCATAAATACAAACTGACTTTTAATCTCTAATAAAAACACCATCTCGAACAAGTATTTTGGAAGTAAATATTCGATAAATACGAGAGAACTATTTAGGAATTTGTGCCATTTAACTTGCGCTATTACAAACTATCGAAACAATTGATAGTTTGGTTAACTATCTCAATTTTTATTGATTGTTATTTTATTTTTACTAGCAATACAGACTATCGGCAGTCAAGTTATTGCGATGCATCGATTGTTCGATGTATCGTTACACCCCTACTTGATATACCATGTTTTTACACTATTTGCGTACGACAGACGGCCATTGTTACCTGTAGAGTGACCACAAGCTGAAAATGCAATTTTTCGTACAATCAAGGGCCATAATTCAGGAAGTTATGATCCGATACGCATGAATATCGAAAGGAACCAAGTTTCATCAAAATCAGATCAAAATTGTGACTTCCAGAGGGGCCACAACCTAAAAACATGATTTTTCGTTCAATCAGGGGCCATAATCCATGAAGTTATGGTCCGATATATGCCAATAAATTAAGTTTCGTCAAAATTGAATAAAAATTTTCACGGACAGGGGCGACAACAATATACATCCACATGAAAATGTTGGGGTATTAATACAATCAAGGGCCATAATTCAGGAAGTTATGATCCGATAAGCATGAATATCGAAAGGAACCAAGTTTCATCAAAATTAGATCAAAATTGTGACTTCTAGAGAGGCCACAACCTAAAAACATGATTTTTCGTTCAATCAGGGGCCATAATCCATGAAGTTATGGTCCAATATATGCCAATATGTAAAGAAAACCGAGATCTTTGAGAGATAAACCTATATTTTAAGTTTCGTCAAAATTGAATAAAGAATTCCACGGACAGGGGCGACGACAATATACTTCCACATGAAAATGTTGGGGTATAAATAAGAAATAAACTAGCGGAGAAATGTCAAAAAATGTTTCGATTGGATAGTTTAAGTAGTTAATTGTTTTAACTTTTACACGATAGCGCGTGCAAGTGCTATTATTTAGCAGATGATGTCAGTTGCTCGGTATCGTGGACCGACGGTTACTGCCCAAAAATTTTCGGGATTTGGCCTGTATATTCCGGACATGTCCAACGCTATTTTCAAAACGTCCTAAATTGTCCAACCAGTAATATGCCAAATCGGACATCAAGGTATGGTGAATTATATTCAAAATTCATATAGTGTACTGAGTGTATATCTATCACTCAACCCGTTTATCGTTGATATTAGGATGGATTGATTAGGTAATTAAGTGATCAACGTACATATCGTGTTATGTCGCCTGGATTAACTAGTTAATCTGCCTTGATTGGCTGATTAAACCCATTATCGGACAATTCATCAATCCAATCCTGAACAGAAGTCATTGCTTCTCCTTTGTCAGACTATGCCTCAATGCAACAATACATTGTCGGCCGACAACATGTACAAATTAGTCATATGTCACATACTCTAATAGTATATAACATCCCAAATCAATACACATTGCATCCGATAACATCGCTGCGATATTACTTCGGTGGAAGTGAGCGTTAAATAAAGCTATTTCACACACACACATATCCGGAAAATTCTAGACAATGCAAGCTGTTTCTGATCGCACGCGGTTATAGTACAATAACTGCAACGGAAGTAGAAATCTTGCGAGACGCATGAAATTATGAAATGAATACGTGACAAATTTCACACATCTAATGTCGGAGAAAAGATTCTATTTTGATGGCATATTCTCGGATTTATGATCATATTTTGAATGGGGTTTATGGTTTTAAATAAAGAAATAAGTACGCTAGGAAATGTTGACGAATATGTCGACTGTTTTAGATGATAGCGCATGCTAGAGTCAATGTGATTGCAGATGGTGTAACTCGCTCATTGTGGTAGAGCGACGTTTACTGCGATTTTTTTTTTTACCTTCCATAAGTCGAAACGGAGTATAAGACGAATGCCGGACTTCTGCTGAAAAAATGTATCGACTTATGACCCGAAAAATACGGTAATTTTGGAAGAATTTGAAACAGGCACGGGTCGGCAGTAAGTCGGCTTGCTTTCATTCTATCGTATTACGATATCACGTAATTTTGTAGGAATATTACTGACATAAATTTGAATACGGTACGGGAATTAAATATGAAAAATAATGAATGAGGTACACCTACTTTTTATTACGTGTGAATTTGAATATTTTGTTGACACATGATTATTTTTTTAAGGAGGTCACGGTGGCTAAGTGGGTAAGACACTGGCTTGCTAGCCTGGAGGTCGGGTGTTCGATCCCTGCATTGGCTGAGAAAGTTCATCCAGATTTTCCGGTGTGATTCCCCCTTGTCAGTGATGCAGGACAGAGGGCCTGACAAGGACAGCTGTCTAGTCGTTCGGATGGGACATCGTTGGCCCAGTTCGGAGCAGAACAGTAGGACGTTAAACTCCATTTTATTTTTTTATTGTGGTCCGAAAACCGCCTGCTTAATTAACGAGAGTTTTGCCCCTTTATTTTTGGTAAAAATGTCTGACAAAATTTTTGGGAAATCCCAACACTGGTTTTGTGATAACTAATAACTTTGTTTTTAACCTCTCCTTCTACTGGTGTCACTGTATCAAGTTTATTACGGATTGGATCTCACCAAAGTTTATCTTATTCATGGTCAAATGGTTTTGGATTCTTCTCTCTTTTTTTTTTATTTGGATTCACATTAAATGTGGGCGTTTAAAAAGAGAATAACCATAAGTACATGTAGCATCATTTTGTGATCCATTCAATAGATCAGAGTAACTTAAATACAGGATAATTCATGTTCCACAACACTTCACAGCTAACAAATTATAACTCAAATCTCAATGTCTACCATAGGCAAAACATACTTACAGTTCTAGTTTGTTGTTCTTCTGATTCAACTTGATATTTTCTAAGTTCAACATCAGAGGCCTCTCGGACTTGTTTTAAAACTTCACTAACATTAGTATCAGATTTACCTAGGTCTCGGATTTTAGCTTCCAGTTTGAGAATGGTGTCAGCAGAACTTTCCAATCGTTCTTGTAGTTCTCTAGCTTGTTCTGTGTGAACCTGATCATTAAATTCAATCTTTTGAATTAGCTGTTGTACTTTTTCTTGATCTTCCAGTCTTGCTAGTTCTTCGTGTTCGAACCTAACAAAATTGAATACTGCTTTAAAAGTTCTGATTTCCTATGTTATAATTTCTTATTTTTCAATGATACAATGTGACTTGGTATACGTGAGTAGGTGCTGGCCCCCTAACTAGGAGGTCCCAGCTGTTGGCCAAGAAAGTTTCTCCAGATCTTGCAGTCTGGTTACCCCCACTTCTTAGTAGTGCAAGAAAAAGTCTCCAGTTGCTCGGAATGTGACAGAAAACGGAGGTTCTGTGTATACCATTGGCAGCTGGAAATAAAACTAAGAATGTGAATGTCATTTTTCATTGGTGCAGAAAAGTAAGACGTTTAACCCCATTTCATTTTATTTCATTAAACAAGTGATGGATCACTTTTTGACAATGTCAGTCAGTGTGGCTCTAAAATTTCAACATGTAAGAATACTTGATAAAATTATTACTATTTTTGTGTCTTAATAGTTTATCAAACTGCTGCTTGCTGTCTACTGGCCAATCCGATATCAGACAGTTCAGTTGATATTGTCACTCATACATTTTCATATAAACATATATATTTTTAAATACCAATTCAATACTGGTATGTCACATGTATATTGAAACATTAAACATACATTATGCAAGAGCTAAATCTGTCTATTGCAGGTCTTTCTTTTGGCCTGAAATGTTATCTAAATTATTAGACATTAATTAACCTATCCAGACCATAATCAACTCTAGATGGCATTGCTAGCCTGCGATCGTTAGTGGATTATGAGCTGATTTACTGCATAACTTTCCTATTTAACGATTAAATGGATAATCCAGACTATGCTGTTTAGCGTACTGACTTTAGTAATGATGATCGAGGCTAGGCAGAAATTTCAATAGCTTAGTTTTCTGTTCATAGTGGATCAATTTGAATGAAATTTTCAGCAAATTGCCTTTACATTATCTAGTTTTTAACTATTATAGTAAGAACTGCCAACTCGTTATTGCATCTCTCATAATGTATCTTTAATTATATTTTGACACAGAATGTGCCAAGGTTCCATTGAATATGAAATCCAAGCACTACACAAGAAGACAAAAACTTTACCTATGTTTCCATGTATTATTTTCTCTAGTTAAATTTTCTACATTTCGTTGTAATTTGTCCATTTCGACCAATGATTGATTAGCTGCTGATTTGGCATCATTTACTTCCGATTCTAAACCTGCTATTTGTCTCTGATAGTTGTTCAGTTCATCGTTCAATTTTCGATTTCTATCCATTTCTACTGACAACCTAAAAAATATAAAAAAATAATATCTGGTCAACTTTTATAGGATATATTTTATCAAGACTAACATAAAAGTTGGTTTCACCAATGGTTAAAGAGAGAGAGAGAGAGAAATGGGGTTTAAAGTCCACTCGACACAAACTAGGTCATTTCGGGACTAACACATGGTTCAATTTTATTTCTATAATTTGCTTGCGCGTAGGGATCTTTAGCAGTGGGAGGAAACCGGAGGATTCGAAACCACGCCAGTTGACTCAATGACAGGTCTTATGATACAGCACGCACATGCTAACCATTCGGCCAATGGTTAAAAGACAGGTATAACTTTCCCCCGATAACAACAGAATTTTAAACAACTTTTTTTTAATGCAGTGACAGTATACTATGTACAAACCTAGTTTTTATTATTCCATTGAATCTAAGGTCCACATTCCATGTACGTATTTTCACCAGCAGGAAAAACGCTGGCGTTTCAGCAGGCAATGTTTTGTACTTCCACGTATACTGAAAATCACTTAAAATCTTTTTTTTTTTTCGCGTACATGTTATCATTTGTGGAAACGCTTAAAAATGGAAACGATCCAATTACATTTGCGTTAGACCAACTTTTTCGCCATCGAAAACGCACATGGATGTTCGTATGGAAAGCCGGCCTAAGGCCTGTAGGATATGGGATATGGGAAGATATCCTGTGGACCACAATCTTTAACAAAAGCAATCTTTAAAATCTGTGCAATACTAGGTTCACACTTCTGTCTATGCCAGTTTTATGGACAGCAGATGCCTGCAGTGGTAATTCCACTGAGACAAAGTATTTGTAAATTCATAATATAAATTTCAGCCAAGCATTCTATATTTCATAATTTTTCTTTTTTAGAAGATTAAGACTTACCTATCTTCTAGTTCACTAGCTGTATGTACAGTTTTACTATATTGTAACTGACATGAATTCTTTTCTTTATTAACATCATCTATCTCTGATCTGAAAATACAAAAAACATATACCATTTTGAGCTGAAAGCTTAACACATCCTATTAATATTAGGCTACTTGAAACTGTGACAGTAGAGGCCACCGGAAAACAGATTGGAACAAGAGCATCGCTAACGCTGCAATATTTATATACATCCACATTCCTGCTTTGATTGATAAGGTGCTTTTTAAAATGAAGAGAATGAAATATGAAATGGCTGTAATATGACAAAAGGCAAAGAAGGCTAGGCGTTGGGTTTGTTTTGCCAAATTTACAGACAAAATATTAACAAAAAAATGGGTGTGACACTGCCCCAGGAGGTCAAGGCATGCACCAAAATAAGTAGTTGCTGTCTTTACAGTATAAGGAATAAATATGCAAAGTTCCAAGATGATCCATTCAGAATTGGAGCCTGTAGACGATAAATACAAAAAGTGGGTGTGGCTCTGCCCCTGGGGGTTGGATATAAAACAATATAAATAGGTACCACCATGTTATTGAAATGACTGATATGCCGAATTTGAACAAAATCTGTTAATTATTGCAACCTGTGGAGTATTTACCGATAAAAACTAACAAAAAAGTGGGTGTGGTACCACACCTCTGGCAGTTGGTGCATGTACCCCAAAAAATAGTTGCTATCCCTACAGTATAAGGAATAAATATGCCAAGTTCCAAGATGATCCATTTAGAATTCCAGCCTGTAGACAAAAAACACAAGAAATGGGCGTGGCTTTGCGCCTGGGGGTTGGACATGGACCAATATATATAGGTACACAACCCTATGCTGGATCATTCAGATTTGGATCCAAATCTGTTGATAATTGCAACCTATATATCATTTACAGACAAAATATCACAAAAAGTGGGTGTGGCACCACTGAAAGAGCAGAGGGGGTGGGGGTGGGGGTGGGTGAAGGCAGAGGGGGTCATGCTCCAACATCAATAGTTGCCATCCTTAGGGTATAAGGAATAAGTATACCAAGTTCCAAGATAATCCATTCAGAATTGTGGCCTTCGGGTGGTAAAGGCAAACATTGGGCGTGGCTCTGCCTCTGGGGATCGGGGCATTCACCAAAATCAATAGTTGATGCCCTTAGGCTATATGGAATACATATGCCAAGTACCAAGTTAATCCATTCAGAATTGCAGTCTGTAAATGATAAACACAAAAATTGGGCATGGCTCTGTCCCTGGGGGTTGGGACATGCAGTTGTTGTCCTTTCAGCTATATAAGGAATACATAACCCAAGTTCTAAGACAATCTATTAAGAATTGTGGACTGTAGGCAACACACAGAGACACAAAGAAAAAATGGTGTGGCTCTGCCGCTGGGGGTTGGGAATTCACCACAAACAATAGGGATGTTTCTTAGGATAGAAGGAATAAGTATGCAAAGTTACGAGGTGATACGTTAAGAAATGCGGTCTGTAGATGACAAACAAATAAATACAACATATGGGCAGGGCTCTGCCACTGGGGGACGGGCATGCACCAAAAACAATGGGGATCATCCTTAGGGTATAAGGAATTCATATGAAAATATTTCAAGGCCATCGATTAAGAATTGTGGCCTGTAGGCGACACACACACAAAAAGAAAATGTGCGTGGCTCTGTCCCTGGGGGTTGAGCATTCAACCCAAACGATATGGATGTTCCTTAGGGTACAAAGAATAAGTATGCAAAGTTTCAAGATGATACGTTAAGAAATACAGCCTGTAGACGACAAACAAATACAAGAAATGGGCATGGCTTTGCCCCTGGGGGTCAGCATGCACCAAAAACAATAGGGATCATCCTTAGGGTATATGGAATAAGTATGAAAGTTTTAAGATGATCACTTAAGAATTGTGGCCTGTAGGCGACACACAGACACATATGTATATCGTGTAAATTTAAGGACTTTGACTGGTTCCTCATTAAGGTCTTGATAAATATTGACATAGCTGAAAAGCACTTATTTCTGAACTCTAATGCATCAAACGATTATCGAAAGATATAAATTATACCTCCATTTATATATTTTATGCATTTGACTTTTTACTGAAGAAATGCAAATAATTGTGGAAATACGACCGACCGAATTCCTATGCTACTGCTAGTTACGCCTAATGGAGGACACGCATGGTGTAAGTTGGGAACGCCGCCAAACGAGCTCATTTGCTCTATACTACCATACTGTGGACTTGACACTTATTGTGGTCTTTAACCTGTAAATAAGTACGTTTTTGTCCCCCCTTTTGACTACACAAGGGAAAAAATACAATACAGCGATAGAACAGTCATTTATTAATGTGATCAACCGAGGTCACATATTTTGTTTTAATACCGACAATTGGGGACTTTGTGGATGGTAAACACCAACAATTGAGTACACACACACTCACATCCGAGGACGTTACAAGCAGGGATGTCACTAATTTTTCAAGAAAGAGGAAATTTTGCTAAAGTAGGGGGCAGCAAATGTTTAGGGCGCGCAGGCCTGAATCTGCTGGCAAACCGAAGGGTGGGGAGTGTGTTATGGCGTTTCGGGGCAAAATTTAAATGACAGAAAGTTTTTTTTAAATATTTTGTGAAAATGTGTCTATCCAAAAAACTTTAATAATCCAAATAAGTGCTTTTCAGTCATATCTGAGTCACAAGATAAGCCTTATAGAATCGCTCGTCTACCAATTTTAAAACTGAAATCCGTGAATATTAGTTTAGATAAAACTTATAAATCGTAACAATTTGAATAATACTGTATATAAAATATTTTTAATCTTCATGATATCAGATAAAAGGCAGGCTGCATTTATTCGGAATTAAAACATTTCGCTCTACAAAACAGATAAATCCCGTTTTCTAATTATGCGTGTAATCGCGCGAATGGAAATCCCCCGGAAACATGACGTCAAGAGTTTTATTTTCCCTGCAAGTGCCTCCCACATAAACAGTAATAGCGCTTTTATTTCTATAACTTTTGAGTCCGATTTTTTTCATATATGAGATCGATATCAAAGCATTATAATACATCCGCTATTAATATATTTAAACAGAAAAGTAATCTAAAATCGCAGATTGAAAGTCAGTTAAATTTCAGTCAACCACTTAATGCCAATGGCTTCCGATTTCACGCTAAAGTCACATGGCGAGAAATGTTTTCTCATCGCGGGAGAACTGTCAAAATCGCATACGTTTACTACTACTAGCCATGAGGAAAAATGACAGTAATCGAACAGACCTTGTACAGTCAGTACAGGTCTCTATTTTATTAGGTACACTCATGTACTCTACTTTATTTATCCCACTAATAATCATAGCACAAGCATACTACCGGAGTAAGACGTTTCCGGTCAAATTTAGCCAATCATTAGGACACAGATCACTAAAGATTTCCCCATTGACTCCAATGTTAATTCTCGCATCTTAGACCGGCTCTAACTTTTTTCCAAATTTTCGTTGGGTAGAACGCTTTCTACCACAGATGGAGCAACATGTGGCAACCACTTGCCCAAAAGCACGTATGAGGTTCTTCATGAAAAACTTGAGATACACAAGCTGGAAGTAGAGACAAGTAAACATGCAATTTCAGGCCCTACATTTCAACATAACCAACCTCTCAACTCTTGTATCCTTCCGCATCAAAATTATGAATATTCACCAAAACCTGGCAGAAAATGTATTTTCAAACCCTTTTCCTCAATTCTACACCAAAAAGTCAACAAAAATCGCCATGCAAAAGGGGGAAAAAGGAAAAGGGAGAGGAAGACTAAAAATAGCTTTGGCCCTTGTTTCGTGGGTGACGGCGTAGGAATATTTGGTGATCTGTGTCCTATATAGGGGTGAAACTTCAGGGATCACCAAAAGGCCTTTTTTATTTCCTTCCCATGTGTTCTGGCAACATGCCGGTGAAAGAAAATCAAAATCAAAGAATAACTGTAAAAATGATGGCCCTTTAAGTACACATGCTGCTTTATGTACACTGGTGCATCTCAGGTCCATAGGCCTTTTGTGCTAAAATTTAAAAATCTTTCTTATTAAAGGCAGTATCTGAGTTCTGTGAAAAAATTAGACAAGTAACAAAGAAACTACATAGAAAACACTCATAATTTGGAATTTTTTTCAAAAATATAATTTTTTACTGCCATGTGATGAAAAATGTACAAAATTTACATGTAGCATCTCTCAAAATACCAATAATTTTCCACTTTTTTAAATATCCGGACGGACAAGAAATATATTTTTAGAATCTGTGGACAATATGCAAACAGAAAAAATGCAAACCAGTTGCAATGATTGTAATATTACAGATCTATACTAAAACATGTATGCCTACCCCCTGAACATGCCACTGATTGAATTAATCTAATCTATGGTTGCAGAACTTACATTACCAAAGGAATCTGTCTAACAGCTATGTTTTACCATCCCTGGCTAACATATGCACATATAAACTAAAATAGGTGCAATAAATATGAATTATGGTTAAAAATAGGCCTTGATGAATGAAAAAAATGCCATATTTGGTCTATGATCACCCCTCTCTAACAGAAGGGTCACAGAATACACAATTTTCACAAATTTGGGAATATTTCAATGTTTCCAACATCTCAAACCTCAGAGGCATGTTACAAATTTGTATTGCAATCCTTGTGCTGAAGCAAGATGTCTGGAACTTTACATTAATTTCCTGAAAAAATAAAGTCAAAAAAGTAGTCATGACAGACTTGACAACATAAAAAGAGGCCTGAAAAGGAGAAAAATTAACATTTTATTGTTTTATAGGCAACATAAATGCAGCAAACACCACAAATGCTGGATTTTGATAAGAAAATATTGAACATTAAACTGACATTTACACATCTACACCAGTTTTATATCTGGGTCTGGTCTCATTGGCCTGAAATGCCTCAGGGTTCTACGTTTGACTCTGAACAAATAAGGGTTAGAAATCCTTGAAATGCACAAAAAAATATTTTTGGGTGAAAAATAACATTCTTAGCTGTAATTCAACCACAAATTCCAA